GGGAGGTAGTACGCAGGCTGGAACAATTATCGCTACAAACGCGGCACTCCAAGTCAACTATCAGCCCTTATCTCCTTTAAAATCTGCCTGTCTTCGTCGTATAATCCGGAACAGTAAAACAACGTCCTGGCGAGATTATGTTCCCTCAATTATATCTTCTACATCTATTTCAACTCTTTGACGTCGGATCCATAAGCTATCAATCAAACATCCCCCCCCCCCCATTCAGCCCCGTCCTCCCTATTCAAGATACTCTCATCTCTGATCCTCTGCAAGTCGCTAATGAACTGGGTGACTATTTCAGCCTTTCTCACCTTTCTCCACACTTCTCGTCCATTAACACCATCAGAGAATGCAACCACATCACCTGTCCTCTGCTGAGTCCTATAATTCTCCTTTTTCCTCCTTTGAATTCAACGCTGCCTTACAGTCGTGCCGCAACACTCATGAAGGCCTTGCCGGTATTCACTACCGTATGCTTCGACAAATTCCATCTCGCTCTCTATCCTTCCTATAAATTATTTAAACCATATATGGACGACAGGAAGTTTTCCTCCTCAGAAGCTCTTATCCTCCCTTTCTTGAAACCTAATAATTCGGGCACCCTAAATCAAGATTACATTGCTCTAACTGGCTGTTTGTGCAAACTACTGGAACGAATGCTAAACTTCCGCTTCCGCTGACCCCCTTGCTCATTTCGAGACATATATTACATTGCATTTGCACGCCGTGACTCCATTTTGGCCATATTTTTTTTACCAAGAAAAGACGTGCGATACCATACTCTCCAACAATTCTACCCTCCCTAGGTATACGCAGAAACATGGGTGTCTTTATAAAGTCCTTCCTCTCCAAACTCACTTTCCAGGTCAAAATTGCCTTTTCCACTTCATCACCCCTTCCTCAGTTCGAAGGTGTCCCGCAGATCATTACTATATGTGTGATGATTTAATCATCTTCATCTCTGGCACATCCATAGCAACTCTCCACCAATTCCTTCAGTCTGCAATAGCATCAGTATCTTCCTGGGCCACTAACCATGGCTTTTCCTTTTCTACCTCCAAATCTTTCTCCATCCTTTTCTCTCACGCACATGTAGGTCCCCAACCTCCACTACCGTTCTTCCGGTAAGTTCCCTGGTGCTATTTTTTACTTTTTAAAAGAAAAGGCTCGCCACTGCATCCAAATCTTACACTATCTCTCATATATCCTGGGCTCTCCCTCATCTTCATGTTACCTTCATCTTCTAAACGCTTCATTATGCATGCTATATCTACTCCTCTGCCTCTACCCTCCCCCTGATACAATACACCGCTACGGTCTTCGCTTAGCCCTAGGTGCCTTCTGCTCCTCTCCAGTTGACAGTCTGTACATTGAGTCAGGCATGCCATCTCTCTCTCGACGCTGTGCCCTTCTCTCTCTCCGATGCTATGCTTGATTCCATCAACTTTCCCTCACCAAACTAACTGTCCTACAATTCCTGTTTCCTACAGTTGTTTCTTCTCCACGTCTATCTATTCCTTTCTCCATTCGTATGGATACTTTCCTCTATCATTTCCCCCTTTTCCAATCCCCGACTTCTTCCGTTTTCTGTCCATTCCCTTCCTCCATGGCTTATACCTTACACCCGTATTTTTTCCTCTGTTTTCCCTGACCCACCAAAATCAGATATTCAAGCTTCTGTCTATGCACTCGACCAATCCCCTTGTCCATAAGATTCAGAACTAGTTGTTCTACCTGTCCACACGCGACAAATCGATCAGATTCTTCTGGGTGCCCAGCCATGTTGGAATCCCCGGCAATGCACAGGCAAATACTCTAACACACTCTGTCGCTATGTCCACATCACACCAACCACGCTTCTCACGTATTCCAGCCACGGATTATTACCCCCACTTTAAGATCTTCCTTTATACCCGATGGCAAAGTCTGTGTACAATACAGCACTGATACCATTTTCAAAGGCACTGTTATTAAAGTTCCTGTAGTCTTCAGTACAGTGCCCTCCTCTTTGACCTCTACTTGACAAGTCCCCCCCCCCCCCCATCTCTTGCTCGTGGGGTCTTAGGAGGCTGAGGCCCAGTGTGGGGATTGCCCCTGCCTTGGACCTCAGCCCTCGCCTCAACAAATCTATGGTCTTTTCTTCTCCC